GTAAAATCAGTTAAGGGAGCGAGAAATTATTAAATCTACTTAAACACGTTATGTGAACATAATTCGGATACGCAAAATATATATTTACCTTATTATTGTTTTCCACCAACAAAGCACACGAACATCATACGTATTAATTAGTTAACGGATTTTATATAATATAAAATTAGTTTACGGATTTTATCGCGTTTCAGTTTTGATTTTTAACCGACTTCAAAAGGAGGAGGTTATACAATTCGGATGTTTATATATTTTTTAATGTATGTTCGGACATAATTTATTTCCAAAAGTGATAAAATCCATTAACTAGTGTCATTTAACATTTGTCATTAACTCGCACTGAAAAACCTGCAACATGTGAAATAACTGCAATGATACGTCCCAACGTATTCAGGCACGTGCAAACTGCGAGATAAGTACGAGAGACGCACTGTCACGTGTCCGATGCGATGAGCATTAAATATTCGGGTCACGGCCAGCGGGTTACCCGCTCTGCGCTTTGAATATAAAGACCTGCTAAACAGCCATCGAACTTGGACCCATTAGTTCGATGGTAAACAACGGAGGAACAATAAAAAGAATGGAAGAAATCGCCAGATCTAACTGTAGTTTCAGATCTAACGTTCATGCAACAAATTCGGCTGTTGCATGACTGGGCAGGTCCGTCAGGGCAGGGCAGTGCCACAGAACACTATCGTGAATTGTTATACTGCTGCGTTTCGTATGGTGAAAGAGGAAGGGGGGGCCCACTTTATTCAAAGATGGCAACGCATTTGCAACTTGAATGGTTATCACTTCACCCACAACACGTCAGGTGAACCGCTTGCTCACCTGCCACCTTCTCACATAAAAAAACCCTGAAAATTTCAAACGAAGCCAAGTACAGCAAGCAATTGGCACATATTTTATCATATGTATGTACCTACATTCCTTGCTGAATTTTAATAGACTGGTAGAAGCTAATCAAATATGACTGCAGCTAGCTGTAGACACATGTGCCATTTAGCAAGAGCCGACGGTGCCATACATAACAATCATCTTAGGCAATCAGTGGAACTACCCAGTTGACCAACAACGTTGGCAAACTTGACCCAGACACTGAACCGGCGACCGTTTACCACCAGGTTTGCGTGACGAAAATCGCCGATGTCATTACTAAATGTCATCGAAACGCGGCAATGATTACAATGGATCATAAGCCTTTTTTCATCACTAAGACATGAAATGAGCTTCAATTTGCGACAAATACCTATCACGGTATTGCGTTCGCTGTATTAAAAGTTATACTGCAATTAATTAAATAAAACTATTAGACGGACGCGATAAAAACGTTCTATTTACCAATATTATGTCATTATGTCAGTTTGTGCTGAACTCGGTGTCATGACCCTCATACGTACTTATTAACGATAGTTACCTGTTAAACCAGCAGTAGAGAATTCAAGGTGTAATAAGTTAGTTATGGAAATTATAGACTTCTGCAAAATGCTGATTAACATGTAATGAGATATTATTTGAAATTCCACTTATTTAGTTGTCTCTATGACTTAAAATAAGTATTGAGCGGTGATGACATTTGCGCGTGTGTCACAAATTCAACACGCGTGTGTCAAATCGAATTTGCGCAAACCAAATGATTTCTACAACGAAACTACCTACGCGCTATCAGCGTAGCACATCGGAATTTTAAAAACCGAGCCCAATCTAACAACAGTATCAGTAAGCTCTAATCAGAGCACGGAGTCTCTACATTTCTGAATTGCGTAAGTCACGCTCACTTTATTACGTAATAGAGAGTGAGATACAACGGCTTCAACGGAGAGCAGAAGTGTTGAGGGTACGCGATGAACGGTAAATTTGTTAAATCTTAAGTTTTTTTTTTATTTGCATCTGGCCAGCACTTGACTGCCATCCCATCTGATGGTAAGTGGCGATGCCAGTTAAGTAAGTTACATCAGATTATGCGTTATTTAATGTAGGTGACAACGATCCTTATGGTTTTAGACAAATAGCTGCTCTATAAACCTCATTAAGCAACGTCATCGGAACCACTTCACAGAAGGCTGGTTGAAATTGAATGTGCATTGTAATTTAGATGGGTGTCATTAAAAGAAATTGGAAATCGTGACTTCATAAGCAGGTAAATAGATAAAAGCAAAGTAACCATAGCTAAAAGAAGGTGACTTTAAGAAATATTTCCGCAGGCAAATCACATTATAGAATTACAGTTATGTGATCTGTAATATAATACAAAGCGTCAGTTATGCGTGAAGGGCGAAGTCAATACTTTAGACCACGGACGTCTAAGATTGAATGAGTATGACCATATAACAATCTTGGCATTTTATATGGAAGCCCTCAAATAAAGTTAAAATGAAAATTAGATAATTAAAGAGACTTGCAGGCAGGGGTCCACTCCACTGTTAACGTTTATGTAAAATTAGACTAATTATTGTGATAATGACCTATACTTGTAGTGATCATCATCATCGTCATCATTTCAGCCTGTTCGATTCCAATTCTAAACATAGGCCTCCCCCATAGACTGCCGCGAAGTACGATCCTGAGCCAACTGCATCCATCGACTTCCCGCACACTTGTACAGGTCGTCACTCCATCTATTGGGGGGTCGTCCTACACTGCGATATTTATAGTCATACTATGTATATTTTCATTCCATATATTTACCGAAATAATACAGGTTTTGTTATGACATGTGCGTTTATTGCTTAACACAGTAGGCAGGAGTAAAAAAAAATAATGAGCACATAACGGTATTGTCGATGGTGTTTGCATTGTTCTTGTGCAATATTAGTTTGTAATTTTTTGCATTTCAATGTAATGTTTGTAGCATATTGAATTCTATAGAAATACCCATTCCACGAAATTTCCAAGTAGTTGCATCACAAAATAAAGAAAGGTTAAACAATAAATGAGAGATGAAATGAGTCAGTTGTGACTTTAATAAGTTGTCTTGTCAATAAATACAAAATTATCAAGTATAGAATGTGTTTAGATAAAAATTAAGGCGTTATAGAAAGTACAAAATGCAAGGAAACAATCTCCGAAGTACTTTAACACTACACATATAGCAATTTGAAAGATACGCGCCGTAATCATTATACTAAAATTTTTATTTTCTCTATCAGAAGACTGAAAAAAAAATCTATACCATGTAGAGTTCTATTGCTGTTTGTAGGTACCCCAATTGTATAAACGTATATTTTTAAATAGATAATATATAGATATAAGAGCCGTGATAGCTCAGTGTCCGGGCCCTGTTAATTTAAAGTGCTGAATTATCACGTGCTCAGCGGTGAAGGAAAATATCGTGAGGAAACCTGCATATTTTCGAAATAATAATATAAAAAAATAAAAAATATTTCGAAGATATGTAAAGTCCGCCAATCCGCAGTGAGGCGGCGTGGTGAATGATACCTTCTATGCCCTGATACCCTCTGTACAGAGGAGGCCTTTGCCCAGCAGTGGGACATGTATAGGCTGATACTTTTTAAATAACTAATTGATAATAAATTTTAAATAAAATCTACATTGTCTCTAAACTCTACCCCTGTGCCTTGTACAATTTTTTGAACACATTTTTATACAACTTTTTCTAGTCCTAAACTAAGCAACGATTATACTATGGTACTAGAAAACTGATAAACAATCTTAAACATACTTATTTTAACAAACATAATTATTCCTTTTGTAAATAAATACATATTATAGATATACAAACACCCAGACAGTAGAAAAACACTATGTTCATCACACAATATTTTTCCAAAAGTGGGGATCGAACTCACACCCTCTGGCGCCGGAGGCAGGTACTCTATCCACTACGGCAGTCTGATACTTATTCATTAACATTTATCTCTTAACTCTACCATCAAAACGTGATTTTTCTTCACATTTCCAACGGACTCTACATTATAGTAGAGACGATATGAAATGTGGACACTAGAACGCTAAGGTGCACGGCTGGGACGCTAATTTGCAATACGCCAACGTACACGCGAGGCCACAGCGTCCGTGTCTTAGCTGACACCGTGCAAGAAAGTGAACAATTGCGAGATTTTTTTACTCGTGCGCTTACTTAATGCTGTGTGGATTTAGTACGAATACGACAACTGAAAATACCTTTATTATATTCGAATACAGTTGTTACATGTTTCATATACGATTAATCGTATATAAAAATATATAAAGATTAATAAAGATTAGCAGTGGATAATAACAATTGTTAGTACATTGTTATTATTCACTGCCAATACGTATGTCACTTGGTAATAATGGTTTGAGTTCCTTTACATGTTGCTCCTCCTACAAATATCACAGCATATAGGTTGATACTATGGCTTGAATTTCAATAAAATAGGCCTAACTCTGGAAGAAATAATCTTAAGCTTAATCAAAGCAAATAAGTATCCAGATGGTGAAGTCTAGATGAAGTAAGACTTTATACAGTTCAGTATGAAAAGAGTCGCGAAAGTTTAAAACTTTGAAAAAAACACTTGTAATTCTTTTAATACACCAGCTTTTCAGTCGTTTATCTCCTAAATTTGTACATTAATATTCACCGATGACCTCTAATTTGCAACGCGGAAGCCCCGACGACTGTAGGCTAGTGATATGTTTGTACCACACCATTAATCTTCAAGTATAATTCGCAAGCGTCTTGCGAAATTAATTACAATGATACCAGTTACGGTCGCATTTATGTCTAACTTGCGTTACATTGTCGGTTGAATTGAAACGTGATTAACGTTAGTGAGAAGCGAGTCGTCGATCGAGCTCGTACATTACTTGATTACGATAAATAATAAGCTAAAGAAATAAGGAAAAATGATCAATCAACATCGAAACCGGATTAACCGTATGCGGTGGTTGCATCGACCTAGTTTCGATATTATTTTCGTTTATTGGACAGGTGAGCCTCCAGCGCATTCTAGACATTGAAACGGATGATATACTCGTAATTAAATGTGAATGCTTACGTTATTAGCATCTTGTGTCACCGCTCCTACCACATGCAGCCGACACCAGCACAGGGGCAACACGTGAATGGAATCACACAAATTGGAACTTAACACACGCGCGCGCGCTCTGATACAATTATGAAATACGTATGAACGAACTTTTGTAATTTGGTGGCGCGTGTATTACGGTCGGCCGGCGGTTTCGTGGCGTGTTGCTCGGCCCGCGCTCGGCACAGGACTGGCGGCGGACGGCTCTCGCTTGCGTGGGCCGACGTTTTTTTTTTCTTTCCCGCCGGCCAGCACCCATTAGTGATGCGCCGCGGCCTTGCGTTGTCGATTATGGATCGACGGATCTGTCATGTCGTTGGATCGCTGCAATAAACCTTACCGGTTTCGCTCCATCTTGGACACGACGTTAGTGTAACGTTTCCGTCTTAATTTTCATACCGTATGCAAAGGTCGACATAGATTCAATTCAAAACGTATTCTAAACATTAATGTAGAATATAACATCTTATAATACGAACTTCGTCCAAACCCATGCGACAGTATGCGATTGTTTGTATTACCATCCGAATAAGACCTAGGATATAGGGGTAACAGGGCAGTTTCTTATTGGTAGAGTTAATAGACGTGCAACCTAAATTCAAATCCAAGTTCTGGCGGCAGTGAAAATGTTAATTGCAACTCTATTGAAGATTTACCATGTGCTCGGCGGTGAAGGAAAACATCGTTAAGAAACTAAATATAACCGCTCTATGCATACCCAGGTAAAGGCCCTCCAAAGAAGACCTTTAACCAGATGCGGCACTTATATCTCTTATTTATGCAAACTCTTACACGCACCTACTGCAAACGGAAATGACAACTAATTTAGCTATGTTAATGAGTAATTTTCATACTCGTTATCGATAGATACAGAGCGCGTCACTACCATGTCTACGTTCAGGCGACTGTCCAGTCCGGTATGTTAATAGTGACGTAAGTTGTTTCGGCAACTGCGAGCCAACACGTTTATGCATTAAACGAGCGTGTGCTAAGGTCCTCAAGAGCCATTCTTTCACAGTCTCTTGGTTCTCCTTCTCTGTCTAACGTGAAGCCACATCTTTCTTTTCCTGTGGAAGAATGAAGCGAAAAGTAGAAGCAGATCGTTTGCCACTTGTTAAAATGCTACATGTACGATATATACATAGGCGTTGTCAATACCTTAAAAGTTGGCAGAGCTTCGCACCTTTCGCAACTTGTACAGGGAACTACTACGGGCTTTGAGACCGGCGTGAAGTGGTGGTATCTTTCGGGTTCCGTCCGGTGAGTGAGGTATTCGGGGCCTACTTTTTGAAGAGGTTGGAAACGCATCTGCAAGCCCAGATGGCTTAACATCAGATGAACCACTTAAATCAAAGTGCGGTTCCCCAACTCGCTTGCCAATATTTCTAATAAGTAAAAGAGAAAAAAGTATTCAAAATTATAAAATCACAAGAGTCTCATTCAAACTTGGGTCAGAAAGAAATTAACGAGCGTTTATGTCTTTTATCCCCCAGACCCACACAACACAGCCAATGACTCTACCACAAAACCATTCCGTCCCAGCAGATATGATGTAATTAATTTTTTTATAGTGCTAACCTCTGCTATTAAGATGAAGCATTAAAGTATGCAGAAAAAATGGACGAAAAGCCGCCTTAGGTTTCGAAAATCTCAACGTCTTTTATCTACTAAGTTTTTTCGCTATCATTCAATGCTCGGCTGATCTATTGTTATATCCTTTGATTTTTATAGTGCGAATCTCTGCGCATCCATAATATGAAACATTAAAATTCATGTCATGATACATAAAATATCGCAAAGACTGCGCCACACTACTCGCCAATATACCATCAGTCATAATTGAACACAGGAGTGGTTGGGAGAGTCGTTACTATCGCCACGGACTCTATGACGGAAACGGCCCTATAAATCTCTGTGTAAACAATTGTGGCTGCGTTACATAATTAATGAATAAGCAATAACAAAATTTGATTGTTCGTCTCGGTGACGATAGGTGTGATATCATAACTTTCGGAGAAGCGCTCACAAGTTTAAGAAGTTGCAGAGCGAATTCGAAAAACTGTGGTAGGGTGGTTCGGGGAAAAGCGGTAGCAATTTGCGTTTTCTCTGTTGACTGAGGTAATCGGGAAACTGTGGTAGGGTATTCAGGGGCAAAGCGGTAGCAGTTTGCGTTTTCTCTGATTTGTCTCTCTTGATTTCTTATCTTTTGAGGTAACCGAGCCTTTCTTTTATCAATCCTACGGGTGATATTGACGTCCGTGGGCGGTTACAATCACTGGACATTTATAAATAAAAATAAAAAGTATAGCAACATTATAAGTCCCACTGCTGGTCAAAGGCTTCTATAGAAAGGAATCAGGGCGTAGTCCACCACGCGACCCCTCTGTAGTTTTAGTAGACTTCACAAATCTTCTAATATATCACAAAATTCACTTTCTATCTATCTAATATATACAAATGCTATCACTTCTAATATATACAAATCTCGAAAATATGCAGGTTTCCTCAAGATGTTTTCCTTCGCCGTTGAGCCCGTGATAACTTAGCACTTTAAATTAACAATTTCATGTTGTTTCCGGCACCTGCATTTGAAGTCAGGTTACTCGAGTATATTGAACTGTAAGCGAGAGCTCCGACTCTGAGCTGAGCTTATCAGACTCTGATATATATCAAAAATCTAATTTTTTTGCACTTCATGACCGTTAGTAATACGAAGGTTAACGTGACTCCGTATTTCGAGGGCTCGATTCCCGAACGAATCAAGTATTTGTTGGACCCACAGACAAATGTTCCGGATTTTGGTATTGGGATTGGCGACAGGCGGCTGGTCGTGGAAAGTATAAGAGCAGAAGGACGATGATTATGAGTAATACGTAAGTTAAATAAGTGAAACCGTTTATTGTTCGACTTTTCATCCGATTATAATGCGCTTTGAAAGCATGAGTTACTCAGTCCACTGAGTTTAACACGTTAGTTTTACACCTACCCCACCACAAATAAATTAGTCTGTTCGCATAAACTCTGATTATCCCACTACCGTTATGATCAAACATTTGCCACAGTAAATTTTAATTTACAAATACAAAGCAGGTACATTTTAAATCAATATTCAATACGAACTTTAAAAAACGTCCGATTAAAAAAATTACGGCCGCACACCTCCAAAACCAGTCGCTTTTTCGCAACAGACAGTTGGGATTCTCCGAGCGTTTCATCATTGTTATGACTAAATATAGATTGGATCCCGACAATCAAATGCGGGTAAATTGAACGTATGTGACATATAGGGATTCAGTATTAAGAAAAGTTATGGACTCTTTAGTCATTTATCTGTTCTTTTTTGTTTTTTGTTTAGTTACGGAACTGTAACGCTAAGTTTTATCCCTAGTAGGAATTGACAAGGTAAGTTATCGAATTTATCACCTTAAACGCCAGTCATGCACTAAAAACTGTATCTGTCAACGAATCTCGCGCTATAAAAACTTTTTCACCATTTACCCGGCGCCTAGTCATTAATGTTTTTTTTAAAGGGAGTCATATGAAGAACATGAAATGATTTCTTCGTAAGTACAGTATTTCCGCATGCATTTTCCATTTTATTGGTTTCGAGAGCTTATCATAAGGCCTTAAGGCATTTCCTTAACTCTCAGCAGTCTGACCAAATTTCAGCAATCAGTAAAAATTTCTCTTTTTCGATTTTTCTAAGTAATATAATCACTGCGACGAACAGCATAAACACTGGTTGCCGGGTCTGAGACTTAATTAGCTCTGTAAGACTGGATGTTCTAAATTTAGCCTTAGTAAAAATAAACCATAAGATCGTCGCAGTCGATTCATAAATTATCAATACCCGGCAAAAAGAAATAAGAATGGTACTCGCAATATTTTTGTTCTATCAAATTACGTTTCATCGTTTGCGGTTCTGAACTTGCTCGGGACCAATGTACTTTGAAAGTAAGGATATACGACCGGATATTGTGAATAAACTTTTTTAACGGAGATGGCAAACGGGTAAGTGTGATGAGCCTTGATGTACATCTTACCAACGAGGTTCAGGGGTAAATGCTGAATAGCAGACACAAATAAATGATGAACATGTTGTGCCGACCCCACTAGGTGTGGGATAAGGGCAAGAAGTTGATTACCAGACACGTTTCAAAGGCATAACCAGTTTGAAATCTATCATTTGGAAGCGGTTGTGCTGAGCGGTATATTAGAGCGTACTGACTAGGTGGAGAAAAGGACTGTGGCGTACCTTGGGGGACACCTGGGTTCCTCCTTGGGTTTCCTACTTTGGCAACAGTGTTGATGACGAACGATCGGTCAAGTCACTTCGGACATTCGAAACGTGTTGTTAGTTTTATTAAAATATTTTACTGAGAATTAAATAGATAGAGATGCATAAAAATAGAAGTTTATCGTTTGTTAGTTGCAACAGTAAACGGGAACGAGTCTAAAGATGCGCCTGGGTTATTCGATGGCCCCCGCACATCGCATCCTAACGGGTTTAAGCGAGCGACGTAAAAACCCATTTCATTAGAGTTCATTCAATCGCTAACTCGGCGCCAGTGGAAAATAACCGAATAAGACCACAACATGAGTTTTTACGGGCTGATGTTTTTTACGGTAAACATCTTTTAGAACGTACGAACATGAGGGTTTTCTACTTATAATAAGTTTCTGAAAATGTATCAAACTTACTTCTGTCACTAGTTCTGAATTGTTTATGAATAAAATGGATTCGTTTCACTACATAGTATAAAACAAAGTCGTCCCGCTGTCTGTCTGTCTCTATGTATGCTTAGATCTCTATTTGTTATTACGTTGCATATGGGCATATGGTACAGTTGGATGGCCTCTTCTGTACAGTGTGTTGAAGTTATATACTTACACCACGCGAAACACAATTGATTGCAAGACTTCATATATGTCCGAGTTTTATGATAGTCTATTTAAATATTAGGTTCTCTCAAGTTGTTTCCTGTCATCATTTGGCACGTGATAAATCAGCATTTAAAATAATAAGTAAATATTTTATATTAGTGATTTATTTTGATTGATTTCATTAGGGATTTGAACTCGGATTGCTCAGTACAATGAATGAAAAAGAGAGCATTGACGGTGAGCAACCATGGCTTGAAATATTTACACCATGCGGCGTCATCATATCAACCTGTTTGAGTCCACTGCTGAACATAGTCCTCCCCCATAGATTGCCAAGAAGTACGATCCTGAGCCATCTGTATCCATCGACTTCCCGCATATTTTTTACAGGTCACTCCATCTAGTGGGGGATGTCCTACACTGCGATGGCCAGTACGAGGCTGCCACTCGAGAACCTTTCTTCCCTATGCCGCGTGAACTAGGTTTCTTATATAATATGTAATTTAATTAGATTTAATAATGTAAATATTGTGATATAAAATAACTCAGTTGTAAGTTAAAAAAAAAAGATTATTAGGTCTTTATCATCAATTTACACTGTCAATGATTTCTAATGGCCGTACAAAATACTTTAATATACCAACTGTTTTTAGGCCCTACTTTTGAGTGATTAATTCAAGTTCTTTGCACAAGTTAAATCTTAAAGAACCTTCAATCGCTGATCCCATCTAAATTGAAGACCTAGATCCGTGCCGACGCAATTACGGATCGTTACAATTAACTGCCTACTCCGTATTAG